TCCCGCTTTAATCATCTAATTGTATATTTACGTATATACGTATTATACGTATATTGATGCGCTACTTTTAGTCTTTATTAAGGTAGAAGCATACTCATAAATAAAAATACATAGATTTTATTCATTTTTCAATAAATTGTACTTCCGGACAATATAAGGATATTGAGTTCAAAAAATTGCGGTCACCAGCTTAATTTTCAAAAAAATAATGGTTGAATTTTTTGGGATTGTGGCCCTTTTGACATTATTATAACGCTTTTACCATAGGTTCGTATGAAACATATATTGTGCCATATCTCAAATTGTAGGTTGGTGACATAGGCTGAAAAAAAATATATATTGTGAATGATAGGGTACTTTTTGTTGTCCTCAATTATTTCAAAAATCTGGGTTATAAAAATTAACACAAAATGCAATTTTTCTTTAACATTGTGAATTGTTCTAAAGATAACGATTTTTGGAAAAATATTAGGACAAGTTTCTTAAAATACTTGAATGTAACACACGAAAGAATGCTATTTCATTGTACCATGGGACATTAGCTCCATGATTTTACATAATAGACCAATGAACATTGTCATGCGATTTATGACCAACTTTTTCAAAAATTATGAGTAGGTTTATACTTTAAGGTAGAATACTACTCGTTTGCTTTTTGACATTTGCGCATATTTTAGCGCACATAACAGTGACAATATTACTTGTAAAATATGTATATGATTATCCGTTTTCGTATTAGTCAAAAGCTTGTGGACTTTCAATTCACAGTGAAAAAATGTACGTAACATGACACTTTAGCAGCGGTTTTCATAACCATGCTGGAAACATATTTTGCTTTCAGAATCTAACTAACAGTAATATCAATTTTGTAATACTTTTCGACATGTACAACTCACCGACTAACATTTTGAGAAATATTTTTGACAAAGGAATGCAAGGTCAAATGCCACAAAAACATACACAACAAGACTATTTTCACTTGTAAGTGGCTTCATATTTTTATTTATTCATTTTCATTTTTTCGATTCTTGTTACTTGAATGTCGCATATAAAAAATAAAGAAAATGAAAAAAAAAGTAATTAGAACTCTTGTGTGCTGAGGGTATTGAAAACACATAAAGTTGAAATAGGAAATATTTGTAAATGTCCTGTTGACTGGTATAGCTCTCATCTGTGTGGTACACAGCGTTTAAAGACTGGATCGCACGAGAGATATCAGTCCGGGCAACTTCATGCGAGACTTTGATGAACATCTATCCTACCATAAGTGCTTAGCGTGCCACAAACAAAACCGCACGAGTGTTGACATATCAACGTAACGAACGAACACATGCAACAGATAGCTTGACAAGACAATCACTGGCACTCATGTCATTTTTTTAACACGATTAATATATTTGTAAAAATATATTTTTCAGTCCGTAATATACAAGCATATACACACTAAGTTTAATTTAAATCTGTTAATAATTGGTTATTGAGATAATAGGAAATGACCTAATTTATGAAAATTATGCATTTGAGACGATTATTCAACACTGATGCATCCAATGGGTATGACACAGTTTATCACCAGAGGGCACATTACATATGCGCAGTTAAAAACACACAAAACAACAAAAAACACAACACAATAAGACCAGTGGCTTGTCCCATAACATCTAGAAAGTTTCATTTGAATTCGTATATTTTGAGATACAAGTGGCAAAGGATGAAATTGATTAATTACTGGGAAAATTAATCATTAATATTGGCAATTTAGAATAAAATACATTAGTGGATTACCTAAAAACATCTATGTACCAAATTACATTGAATATGATGAGGCATCAGATGGTTTCATAATTTATGTAAATCAGGTAATTCAGCAGGTCCAGATGAGGTGCCAGCAGAAGCCCTCAAAGCAGCCATAGTGAGCTCGGTCAACATTCTACATAGTCTTTTTAGTAGGATTTGGGAAGAGGAGCAAGTTCCCTGTGAGTGGAGAGGGCATATTGGTTATACTACCGAAGAAAGGGGATCCGAGCAATTGCAACAACTATAGGGAGATCATGCTCCTCTCACAGGTTTTTAACAAATTTTTAACAGAATTCTCCTGGAGAGAATGAGGGATGCAGTGGACGCGAAGCTGCGAGATGAGCAGGCAGGCTTCCGCAAGAACAGGTCCTGAGCCGATCAGATTGCCACCTTACGCATTATAATAGAGCAGTCACTGGGATGGAACTCTCCTCTATCCTCGGGGGCGGAGCTACGTCACAGACGTTCCACGTTGCTAAGACGCGCACCGCTGTACATGCATTTCTATGGGCTCTGTGCGCGCTGCTGTGGAACGCCGGTCGAGCCGGTGAAAATTGAGAAAACAATACAAACTCAACTTTGAAGTAATCCCGAACAATCAAATTTATATATGTTACACACGTAGGGCTAATCTTGTTG